GGGGCAAAAAAAATGCACACACACCCACCACCCCCCCCCACCCACCCAAAAAAACACAGATGAATTTAATGTAGCTGAAATTTGGGTGATGTAAAGAGGATAAACTAGATTAACACATCAAGAAAAATTGGAATTCTAAATACTTCTTCCCACTAAGGCTCTTGGGTAAGATCTTAGAGGGCCTAGGATATGTCCGGCCATAGCTTATAAACCTAGTGTATTGAAAAAATAAGCTTCAGCACTTGGGTTAGAGAAAGTTACTTAAAACCTAACCACACAGAAAATTTAGTTATTTCAATAACATGCCCACAACAACAAGTTTAGATAGAAGGCCAAGAAAAGCAAAGGAAAGCGACAAAATCCGATTCATATACTTTTAAGTGTGGAAATAAAATACTGCACCTCTTCGGACAGAACAGAAAATAATATTCTCGGGCACAAGGGATGCGCATGTTCTCCCCTCAGAAATATGAAAAAGATCGAGCAGTTAAAGAGTCCATAATTCTTTGGCATCCACATTTGTCTTGAAAATGCTGGACTCTGCACACCAAACTTTTTCCATTAACAGATGATTTGAGGATCGCAGCAAAGAAACTTCATCAGATATACACACACAGAGATGTACAACCACCACAAGAGCAAGCGAGACCCAGAATATCTTGCATAGTTCATACTTCATATATAAATTCATTCACCAGAAGCAACAAATAAAGAAATTTTCTAAAGACAATCATGTTTTTAATTATACAAACAGTATTAGAATCATGGTTTTGGGGATGTTGGCAAAAGTTCCTCTCACCACTCACCACAAGGTACCCATAGTGTTATCTAACTAATTATCTTCCCACGGACCCATTATTGTGATTGGTTTAAAACATGAGGGCCATATAAACAGACTAAGCCGCATAAGCAGCAACAGTTGGAGGAAAATGTTCCTTGAACAATAACATAGTATTCCTAAGGATGAACCAGCCCAAATACATGAACCGAGTAGAAACTTATATTACATATTACAGAAAATATTTCCGGATGGATACAGAAAAAGTCAATTGCTTAAAGATTGGAAATAAGGTATTCAGGGTCCAACAAAAGAAAGCTGAATTATGAAGATACTCACATTTGATGAAAACCACCACTAGGCTCAATCATGTATGGATCGATATCTCATTAACTGTACTGAACTGATTGGGAATATCCAAATATCTTTCTGGCAAGAGGAACCAGACATATTAGAGCGATCTGAAGCTGTTCAGAGCTGGTCAGACGAAGACTGACTTGTCCAGAACCCCTATTGTTGATGTTGACACGGCCAATCAAGTTTGTATGTCGGCCTACAGGGATTTGAGTCTGAGAATTGCATCCAATAGCAAGATCTCCATGCCAATCCATTACCGAGAGTCCCAGAGTAGAGAAAAAACGGCCAAGCGGATGATCTTTATCTCTCAATGTAGCTTCCAAGCTACCCCCATAAGCAACATCACCACGACCAAACATGGCACCTCCTGAAATGACAACCTGGCCACGCTTGTTAACAATCAACTTGTCCTCAACCTTAACCCCTGCTGTCAAGGCATCACCCAAGAGACATGCTGAAAGTCCAGCAGATGCCTTGTTTTTCCGGAAATTGATGAACTTTGTCTCAGTGCGAAAAGTATAAGCAACATCCTTACCGAGTGACTGCATATCAAAACCTAGAGAGGTTACTTTCCCACCACCATGCTTCAATGAACTAGCCATTTCCATTTGTAGATTACTGTCTTTTTTATCCTTTGATACTTGACCAGAGAAAGATACAGGTATTCTCTCTTTGACTACAAACATTCTCTCTACATTTATGCCCTCATACCCAATATCATGGTCCCAACCTTGAGAATCTAGGACAGGCCTCACAAGCCACTGATTAGAAGAATCCAGACAGCGATACCTATGAGTTGGATTATCAGAATCAAAAGAAGCAGGTAAGGTCAAGTCTGGCATGGGCACAGGAACAGAAGCGGCACCATTTATATCCTCATCTGCACTTTCATTAGAATTAGAATACACATCTTTAGTTGCAGCTTGTGTTTTCATCATATTCCGCCGCCTTCTTTCCTCCTTCAACTGCTTCCTCATCAAAAGTTTTTCCCTGTACTCTAGTTCATCAAAATATGCCTTCCTTTGCTCTTTACTAAGCTTCCCTAACTGGGCTTTGGTCAAACATTTAAATGGAGGCAATTTATCATATTCTGACTCTTCTTCTGAGTCTGAGTCATCCAGATCATCATATAAGGTCTCATCATCTCCTATCTGTTCAGTTGGCAATTTAACTTGTGGTCTTGATTGCAGAAGAGATGAAAGAAGAAAGGGTAGTGGGGGTGATCTTGACCGAGTAGCAAAATTCCTTCCAGGTGGGCTATCTTGCAACTTCAGAAGTGTATTTGCTTCAGCTAAAATTTTTGACGCAAAAGACAAAAGTAACAAGTGAGGCTTCCAAACCTGACCATTTGGTAACACTCTCTGCCCAGCTCTATTAGTCCTGCATGCTGAGTGATTTTCCACCAAAGAAACAGGGTTCATGAGGCGCATATCTCCAGCTGCTTGACGAATTGCTTGCTGCACAGCATGTGAACGCTGAGTTACAAACATGTCATAGCTTGTGGCAGTGCCATTAGGGCCCTCAGGCGGAGCAGATGCAGCATGTGTCAAAACAACAATAGCATTAAACCATATCGATGGTCCGAATATATCTGTTATAGTTCGTAACAATGGCATGTCACCATATTCTCTGCTCTGCATATCCAACCTATCAAGATAAAGAACAATATCTGGGGGAGTTTTCTGAATGAAGTTTTTCACAGAACGGAGAATCTTCTCATTCTGTCGCTGGTCTGACCATGAAGGCAAAAGTCCAGGCGTGTCAATAACCCGTACCTTGATCCCCTGCACAGTTCCAACAACATCCTGAACCTTCTTTGTTCCAGTCTGGAAAGCATTAGTTCCAAATTTACCCTCATCGAAAATAGAATTTATGGTTGCACTTTTACCAACCCCTGTCTTTCCAAGCACCATGACTGTGCAAGAAAAATTCAAGGGCTCCTGCCCTGCTGCCTCAAGCTGCTCTGCCATGCCACTAGCACGATCAAAACTAAAAGGAGCAAAACGACCTCCACTACTCCCTCTCAGTTGTTCAGCCAATCCTAGTCTGTACAAAACCTGAGCAACAACAACATTATGTGGAGTCTGCCCAAGGCGACGTGCAAGACGCAAAAATTTAACTCGAATCATCTGGAGCTTCTCCCGTGTCTCATCACATTCCTCTCCCTCTGCATTTGTAGACTCTTCAATTAGTTGGCTTTGCACTGGTGTGACTGCTCCATTCACTCGAGGTTGCTGTGCCACTCGAGGTGTAGGTTCCAGGAGTGAGGCAGCACGCCCGAGACCAGCAGGAGTTGTGGTATGAGCCACAGATGTGGCAGGAGGAGATGAATCTGTGGCAGATTTAATGTCCTCTTGTTTGGTTCTAGCAACAGTTTGATTCTCTTCCATGTATATTACTTGTTTATTGTCAGGCTCCTTAACTTCAGCAATGGGAATATCAAGGGTGGCATTCACAACTTGAGGTTGAGAATGTTTTGAACTGTCCACAGCCAAGTTCGAAAAGGTAGCAGAGGCCACCACATCATCACCAGTAAAATCATTGAATGGATGAGCACTATCAACTTCAGGAGTGGTTGCTTTATATCCCACTGAAATACCACTATCATGCCCAGTACCAGGATCAGACACTTTTTCTTTGGACTGTGAAAGCAGCTTGAGGCCACCTTCTTGGTGGTCAAGAACTCCATTATTAATCTGGACAACCTTATGCTCTCTGTACTTGTTATCTGCATTCCATGAGGGTGACTCCGTGGAATCTTTGGGTGGATGGCTGGAAACAACATAGGTTTCTCCAAGGAGTTCAGAAGCTGGATGTGGTAATTCATTTTCCTTCAATTCTGTATTTAATTCGATGCTTTGTCCAGGGTAGGGACCTGGAAATATATTATCACTACATTGGATATCCTTTTGTTCTCCTTTAGTTGTACCTTGATCCAAGGATTCGGTTTCCATTGATTCAATTTCCTTATTTCCAACATTGAAGATAAAGCTTTCTGCATTAACTAAAATATCATTCGGATGAGCATCCTTCCGCTCTTCATTCTTACCAACGATGTCTGCTGATTCCACGAGTAACGAAGCTCTTTCTTCCATATCAGAACATTTCTCGTGCCTCAGATCAGTGGAAGGGATAACAGATTTGTGATTGTGAGCGTTAACATCGTCTTGAAATCGTAATCCAGTATCAGTTGTATCAGAAATTCTCCCCGCATGAGGTGTTTTTTCAGACAGAAGTAAGATGTCTCTGTAAGACGCGGCCTGCTTCTGGGAATTCCCATCACCTTGAATGGGAATGGCATGTTTACCATCCAGCTTTTCATGTGCTCGCACATCATGTACGCTGTCATCTACTGTCATTGCACCATTTTCATAATCATAGCCGTTCTTAGCAGCATTGAAGGCTATAGTCTCTCCAGGATACAAGGCTCCATCTTCTGACTCCTTTGGAACATCAATGGATTTTTTGTTCACTTTATCTGTATACAATGAAGTATCAGTTTCACTAGTGGCATCAAGATCAGAAACTTCCATAACCGTTACATTTCCTTTCACAACATTATCAAACTTCTCGGATTGTTCAGTTTCATCCCTTGCAAATTTATCTGAAGAATGTTGATTCTCCTGAGCTGCGGATTCTTTACTTTCCAGAACCTCAAGCTTCACTCCAGCATCATCGTGAGCACTATGAACATCAGGAGCAGCCTCAACAGCCTCCTCAAACTTCTCATCATCCTCGATAGTTGCTTCAACTGCCTCCTCAAACGTTTCATCTTCATCTATTAAATCCAATTCCTTCTCATCCTGCAACGAGCCGACAGTAGAATCAACATCATCGTCCTTCCTGCCTTTACTGGCTACTGTCTCCCTATCGACCAATCCAACACTGGGTATCTCAGCTGCAATTCCCTCAGCAAACACTTCATTGCCAATTGACACATCAGGCACTTTTTCTTCTAAAGGCAGTTCCAACAAGTCATCCTTAACACCATTTGCCTCCCTTAAGTGAGATCCATCAATACCATCAACGTTACTCTCCATCAGAGAAATGAATCTCCAACCCCCTAGATTCACACAAGCAATGCAACAAAAAAATTGAACTGCAACATCAGCGGACTATAAAATAAAAAATGAAAGAAGAAAACCCCCAGATAAAGAATAAACCTAATCCAACTCGAACTATGAGGCCAGCAACCAGAGCAGACAACTAACATAAGCACCGATTGAATTTCAATTCATCATGCGGAGAGAAAGCAAACACAGATTCATCTAACTACTAATCTAAACTAGGGTTTTGCAAGGATTAGAGATACCCGAGAAATGACCGAAATGCTTACCAGTATACGGGGACGGTGCAGGGGGGAGAGCGGTGAGAGGTAGAGTGGTTTGAGAATGATTTGGTAGGTGTTAGTAGAGGCGAGGAATTTTGGGGAAGGGGGTGATATTTACTTCTAGAGGGAGAGCGGAGAGAACATCACAGCAGGTGGGTGAGGGGAAAAGAGGATGTGAGTGTGGTTCGTATTCAACAGGTAAGGGTGAAGGTTTGAGATTCAACGGAGGAGATCGATCAGCCGCCTCGTTCTTTACGTTAATCTAATTTCCCAACCCGGGCTGAGCAAAGCCGAGCTGAGTGGAGAAACATTATAAAATGCTAGATTGCTAGACATACCTCTTACTACCTCCGTCCCACTCTTTTTGTCCAGTTTTGATTTTTGGAACTGTTCATCTAAGCACTTTGACAGTAGTTTAAGAGAGTTACACATTCAGATTTTTATCAGTACACACTAGAACAAACTAAACAGAATTGTATATCTAATAATTATATATTAAAAATATTAAAAAATTATATGTTTAATGTTCTATTTTACCTAATTTCTTCACGTAACCTACCACACGTTTTTACTTTCACGACAAAAAGAGTGGGACGGAGGGAGTACATCATAACATCAAAGCCAAAGGTCTATCCCCACGGATAAAGCTACTTGTATCCCAAGGGGTTGTATCTTATTTTGTACACTTTTAACGCACCAACACTTTGTGCCAGTGTGAACCATCAAAATGTTAATGTATACCTTTAGCATAAGTTTGGGGTACAAATTTTGGTGTAAATGTAGCATGGTCTGTATCCCTATTGTACATCATTGTCTCTCTACCACACAATTCTTGTTTTAATGGTATTGATTCTAAAAGGTAATATATGTTCATACTATTTCCAACTTGACGTACAAAGAGTTAATACTTTCGTCTCCATAGAAACTCGAACCTGTGGGAACTTCTTCATAAATCATGAGGAGTGAGCTTCCTACCACTCAAACCATGGGAGAATTCTCTACCATACAATTCTAATTGTGGATAAGAAAAAATTGGAGAATGGATAAAGATTACGTGGTTGAGAGATTAATGGTGTATAAATTGTTGTATAAATTAGGTACATCCTTGGTGTACCATAACATATTTTTATTTAATGGATCCTTTGGGAATTTTAAAGATTTGATATGATATGAAAGAAAAATTATATGATTTTTGAAATTTAAAATAAAAATAATTAGAAAAATATAAAATAATGGTTATTAGTAATAGATAGAGTCGTCTCAAACAATTTATAGGTCTTGAACATAAATTGAAATTCCTTAAACAATAGTGTAGCCAAGATTTAGTAGCGTGTTTCACCTCCAATTCACGAGGTAACGCAAAGGAAGCAAATAATGAGTCTGGTTTGAGCAACATTAGTTCATGTTGAAGGTGTGGTTTTAATCCAGCGTGAAAAAAAGATTGAAGATTTGCTTCCTCGACCCCGGTAACATTGGCCAAGACTTTTTCGAAGGCCTGATGAAATTCGCCAATGGAACCCACTTGATGCATTTTAGAGAGGATGCCAAATAATCGACCTAATTGAATGGGTCAAAACAAACTTTAAACTTGGCAATGAAGTCCTGCCACGAAGCAAGTAGCCGATTCCGCTGACGCCAACAAAACCAGTCCAGCGTCGGGCCTTCGAGCATTAACGAGATAGCGAGTAGACGAGACTCCTCCAGAATGCTGTAGAATGTGAAGTATTTTTGGGCCTTGAACAACAAGCCTTCGGGGTCGGAGCCGTCAGTCTTGGGCATATCTAGTTTTAATTTAGACATGATGAGGACATTATTGGGTGACTGGTGACCGCCGAAGTGAGAACCAGACGGGCTAGACTGCGGCCCTTCTCGTTCCTTGTCAAGAATGCATCAAATTGACGTTGAAGCTGCTCCATATGTTGATGTATGGTTTGCATGGCTGTAGTCTGGGACGAGATCTAGTGATCAAGTTGGTCTTGAAATTTTTGAAACCGTGTGTCTGTGTTTGAACCGGAATCCATGGATGGCAATGAAAGCACCAAGGATACGGACGTATCAGTTAAGGAAGACTTTGAGCGTCTTCAGGCTCAAAGGGAAAAAGGGAAGATTGGAGAGAAAAAAGCGTAGCGGCTGAGCCTCTTGCGCGAGATACGAGAAGTATGGTTAGGGGTTTGTTTTATTGATGATTAACTTTGAGGATTACGCCTCTATTTATAGAGTCCAAACCTGAAGCCTAAAAACTAATTTATCTAACCTGACGGTTCAAGAAAAATGACGAGGTAAAGAACCATAAAGAAACCCTCAAAGGAGCTTATAAGTTGCTCACCTACGAAAATCTATATTACAATAATAAAATAATAATAATAGTTAAATAATAAGTTTTCACTACATCTCGTACTCCCTTTTCCAATTCGGAGCTCAAACTATATCACAGGTCCAATCTCTATCCCGTTTTTGGATCCATTTCCATGGATGAAGAGCTTGGTGCATCTCACTTTATTCCTCACCAAACTTTTTTTCTCATGGGTTAGTTAGATATGGTCAGCTCCCTATTCTCCATCAACCCATTTTCCTCTTCTAAATCATGGCATGTATTATGAATTGCCTCCCTCACATTATGAGATTGCATGTGTTTATTCCTATCTAGGTAGACTTCATCTCCTTTATGAGATTCATCAACTTTCCTTATAACACCCCGGCCCCTACCCTGGTTGTAAGCCTTTGTTCATAGAATTGTAGGCTGTCCCACAAACTAACACAAGCCTTTCTCGTGTATTTTATCCTCACCCGTGCGCGCCCAAGAAACTTCCCAGGTGGTCACCCATCCTAGAATTGCTCTAAGTCCAACACGCTTAACTTTGGAGTTTCTAAGTGATTAGCTCTCAAAAAGAAGATGCACCTTGTTTGTATGAGTAGTACTATCAATCCTTTTGAGCCTTTTTTTTCAAATCCATTTATTTTTGAATCAGGCTATTACATTCCTTCTCATTGGAAGTTCCTCACATAGCCATTTGGAACCAATATTATTGTGAGAAAGTCTCGAAGAAGCACGCAACTCTGGACCAAAATTACGCACAATATTTTTCCCTCAATTATTCATAATTATTGGACGGAACCACTCCCCATGCCCAAGACAATCGCATGCGAAGCAAAACGTCGGGAAACACTCATAAGAAAAAGATACCCGGAACCAGGCTTCCCCTTAACGCTTCATCTTAGTACCTTTCTTCAATGGCTTGTGGACATCCAGTTTTACTCGAATCCTAATATAGGTCACCCAAGAATTGGAGTAATTCTTTGGATCTGACTCTATGTATTCTCCAATTTTGTTACCTATGTGTTGTGCCACACAGTTAGAAAAAAGCCTCTTCAACCCATGAACTTGTACCCATATGAGCAAATAGTGTAGTGGGACATCTCGCGGATCTTTGTGCCCATCCAATCTATCAAGAAGCAAGGCGTGGTTGTTGAAAGTCTAAGAAGACATGTCCATGACCCTTAGCAGTTCCGATTCTGCCCCAAATTGAAACACATAGAGGTCATCTCCGATTTCTTTCACTGGCATTCCGTCCTCCGACCATTAAAGAGATGCCATAGTGTTCTTCATTGCAGAAAAGTTTATCGGGTTTTCCGTAAGGAAGCATCCAACAATGCAGTTCTCCAGATCTATCGAGAGATTGCTTAACCTGTTATCCTCATCAGCAAATACCAACCTATCTTCCACATCATTCCCAAGTGAAAATGAAGCCATATCAATGTGCACTTACTCCCCTCCCATGTCAAAAAAGTTTTGCAGAAACCCTAGCCACACTAAACGATGAAACTCTCAATACAAAAGACGAACTATATCTCATCTAACAATACCAATGCATGTTAAAATGGAACAACTTCATTTTAGTTAGGAGATCGTCTAGTACGTGGTGTGGGAAAAATGTGTTGGCCGAGAAGATAAATATAAGCGATGGCTTAAAGGTACCTTATGGCTTGTTAGTGTAGTCTACTAGAGTTGGACCCTCTTTATTTTTTGAATCTCTTGATATTTCCAATGTCCGGGAAAGGTATAGTAAATAAACAATTTTACCCCTTATACATACATTATTGTTTCTGGGGTTTTAAGATGAAAATGTAATTCATCAACAAGATCATGGATTTATGAATGGTTATGTGCTCATAGTGTGGAGTTTTATTTGTAATTGGTGACTGCTCGGACTTCCTTGAGAGTACAGACATGCCGGTGCTTCCAGCGTTCGCTCAGGTAAAAACAATTTTTTTACTATATAGAGTAAACATAAAATAGTAAAAACACCTCAATCATCAATATTTGAACACACACTTTAGTTTGCTTTACGATTGATCAATGAGATTGTAGAGCAATAAGGGAAATACCTTGTGACACTATAAAACCGAGATAGGAATACTGGTGGAGGGAAAGCAAACACTACAAAGGACATCATGGTTTTTTTTCTTTTTCAGAAATCCTTTCTACTTGATCTTTATAGTCTTTATTTTCCTATAATTTTAAAAGCACTTTAGGCACAATTAGACATTGCGATCGAATTCCGAAATGGAGCAATAAGTTTTAGTACTCCGATTCTTTTTTCATTGTCTAGTGTAGTTGATCATTTCATTTTCTCTTTAAAAAAAGCTCTATACATATTAATTCTTGATGTGTCTACTTTACAGCTTACTCGAATTATATCAATATCCACGAAGATTATTCCAAGAGTCATGGACTTGGTCAGACGGCTAGCATAGGAAGGCTAGCTGATACAATTTGATAATAACTTGTCTTATTGAATATTGAGAGATATGGCCCTATATATAGGGAATACAAGAGTAATCAAAGTACAAGTAGGAAAGGAAAGAATAATCTTAGTAGGAAAGGAAAGAAGTATCCTAATTTAATTATACTTCCTAATATCCCCCCGCAAGCTGATCAACGGAGACGAGGGGCAGCTTGGAACATAAGTACTCAAAAGGAACTGGCGGAAGCGGTTTGGTAAGAATGTCTGCTAGCTGCTCTGAGGAGGAAACATGATGTGGAGTCATAGTGCCTGCCATAACCTCATCTCGTACAAAGTGACAGTCTGTGCCCACATGCTTCATGCGATCATGAAGAACCGGATTTTTGGTGACACAGATAGTCGACTCATTGTCACAGTATAACTTCGGTTTGGACGGAGGAATACCC